TGGGGACATATGTTTAGTGGAGGGGCTTTGGCCCAATTCACATGTTTCGGGCGACCTGTTTGTCAAGGGCCATCAACACGGCTTGCATCAGGCAGTATACCGCACCTTTGTCCCCAGTTGTTTTCACCGTGCCAGAGTAGTGTCATAGGTTGCTCTGCCAATCCTTCAGCTGCGAAGCTTGCGACAACCTGAGAGCCACGTTGACAAACAGGGTGTTGTCATGTTGACTGGCATTGGTCAGGGTAAGGAAAAATCAAGATCAAGGTTGTTGGTTCTCCTCCTGTGATGCTAGGGACTCCTCGCGATTTAAGTGAGGCAATCATGTATGAGGAAAGCACTGGCTCAAAGTGGGCAATCCTGCCCTGCTCAAAGCACGCGGATTTGCTTTACGTCTCACCCCGTGAGTTGCTGGGCTTTCAACTTGTTTGGGTTTGGACCTTTGCTTTTTTGGGCCCATCCTCGATCGGAAGGGAGAACTTGCCAATGTTGACCTATATAAATCAACCCCAGTTTGTTGCCTGGCGGGTATTTCTGGGTTTTCTGGAGGGAGTTGCTATATGCAATTAGCAACACGACCTGTGCAAGAGAAAGACATCGTGTCAAGGTCTACCCCGCCTGGCGAAACCACAACTCTGGCGCGCCTCTGCTAGCGCGGCCGTGCCGATGCCGGCCGGGGGATGTGCACGCCAGATGTGAGCCACCGGGTTCTGATAGCAGCCATCCCCTTAGGCGTTTAGTGGTTGGGTTTCCCTCTTATCCCACTAAAAGTGAGTCACTTTTGGCAGATCAGTTTGGACAGCCGAGAATACAGGTCCCCAAAATGAGACCTTCCAGCCAAGCAAGAATTCACCCGGGCGCCGCAGGTGGTTTATTTAGCTGGCGGTCGTACTTCCAAGCGAGGGGTCTGCCCCAAAGCCTTGGACCCATTGGTCCCTTGAAGTAGTGCTCTTGCTCACCCCTTGGTCGCTTTGTTTAGCTCATTCGCTCAAGAATTCACACTCATCTAGGTCCCCCAGTGCCCTTTTTTTTGGTTGGAGGGAACCCCCTACTAAACTTCGACCAAAAAGAAAAACTCGGGGACCAACTTATTCTAACCTCTCTATTCTTATATAGGAGGACCTAGACCAGATTCCCCCGTTGCGGCTTTGCGGCCCCACACTCCGACGCCGGTGGCGTCGGCAGATGCGGCTGGGAGGCCATCACCGTGCTCACCACCGAGGATGCGGCGGACAAGGCCCGCAAGGTGGCCGAGGCAAGTCAGGCCCTTGCCACTGAGGCGACGGGTGGAACCGCGAATCGGCGAGCGGGTTGCAAGGCCTTGGTGACACTTTTTTTTTCAGGGGGGACGAACCAAAGAAAAACCGTCAAACTACCAAGGGAACTGCCAACGTTGAAAGCAACTTTTGTTTAGGCGTTTCTTCTTGCAACTTTGGTTAGGGGGGACGAACCAAACAAACAAATCAAACTAACAAGCAAGCAAACTACCAACTCTCAATTCGAAGACCAAACAACAAAGTCGACTGCTACCCCCATCTTTCTCTTCATTTCTTGGGATGGATTCTGTGACTTTCGGGGAAACCTGCGTTGCACCTGCAAAGATTAAAGATTTGTTTGTAGGGGGGTCTTCTAGCCACCTAGAAGCATCAAGCTTGATTCTTTCCCTACCCCAAAGTGAATCGACCTGATCTCTGCTTTTGGTTTCCCAGATCTGCTCCATGTATGTCCATCGATCAAGGTTCCAACAGGTGAAGCTAGTCCCAGGTCCTTCGGGCAAGTGAGTTGTTGGAGCCCCTAAGATTAACATCTTTGAAGGGGAAACCCTGGATGGAACCTCTCAGTTGCACATCTGCTCAAACAAATCTAGCCGAGGCTGAGAGAGTTTGATGGGAGGGCAGGCCATGTTCCGGGTGAGCGGTGAGCGGGTCACCTTCCGTTGGCGCTGTGCGTTGAAACGCATATATGCACCTGCATGTTTCATTGCTATGGGCCCTTTTTTCAGATATCTATGTACAATATGACCTATATGTCCAGATGCGGGTGTGTCAATTTTAGTTCGGGTGCCTTGACAAAGGGCTTGAAAAAGGGAAACAAAGAGGAGAGCCGTCGTGCCATGTCGGGGGGTCCGATTCCGAGTTCGGCTTCCGCGGTTCGCGGAGGTGGCCACAGAGGAGGTGGCTTGGCACTGTGGCACAACCTTTTGACGGAGCCTATCACCGCAGATCACACACTTGGTCCCCCAGTAGTGCCCTTTCTCTCCTTTTTTTTTTGGGTTGGGAGGGTTCCCCTCCGGAATTAGACTTCAGAAGAAAAGTTGGTACCTTTATTCTAACCTCTCTGCAGGACCTAGCACATGTTGATTGCCGCATCCCGTTTTCTTAGCCGAACCTTTGGACTTTGGATGGACGAAATCCTGCTCTCGAGATGAAGGCCCCAATGGAAGAAGAAACCACCTACCAACCGGTTCAAGAGTTTTGTGCATCCACAGTATCACTGTTGAAAATGTTGTTTTTGTTCTGCCAGGGGATTTAAGAAAACGTAAGTTTATCCTATGGTTGCCAAGGGCACCCAACACACGCGGGCTTGGCGCTCCCGGTTGTTTTTGTTTTCTCTTCAGGATTTTACTTTGGACAAGTGGCACTGTCCGACGCTCGCAAGTACGAGGTGAGGAGTTACTACTGGTGGGAGGGCAAGGTGAACTTTGACCCGGAGTGGCGGGTGGCGGTGACTACCACAGCCCCTTGCACTCCTGTGTTTTTTGTTTCTTCTTTTTTCTTCTTTTTTTGAGAGAGAGCCCGTGCATGGAGGGGAGGCGTGCCTCCATAGAAGTCATGGGGGTTCTACCCCCTTCCCAGCCAGGGCCTGCATCTAAAACGGCTGCGAAACAAAAATCGGGGTGTTTGTCTCAAAGTTCCGCAAGGCTCCTTAAAAGATACATTTTGCAACCATTTGAAACATGTGGCTTGTTCCACCAAAATAATTTACAAGGCAATGTTCAGGTGTAAGGCTCCCTGTTCCAATGGTTGTGCTTCAGTCTTTGGGGACGCCCGGCCACCGGTTTCACCACGTGCTCCGGCTGGTCGGCAGCCGGGCTGGTCCCCACTTTGACCGTAGAGTGGCCCCCAGCTCCAAGCATCCAAGAGTCCAAGAGCAAAGCCCCAGCTTTTCGTCACTTGAACCCAAAGCGAATCCACCTAGGGACAACTTTGGGTTTTCTTCTTTTGGCCACCCATTTTTAGTGGGGCAACGGGTCATCGCCGGATTTTTCCCCTTAACGGTCCTTTGGGGTCGTTGAGTTTGCCGAAGAAAAGCCGCCTCGACTTTTTGTCCTCCAAGGAGCCTTTCGCGGCTGCGGAGGCGGCCATCGCCAAAGTGCACAGCTACGACCTGCCGATGATCATCTACGACCTGCCCGAGGCCGACGCAAGCCACAGGCACTGGACGCTTGGCATCAAAGCCGCACACGTGGCCAGGGCCGCCTGCGACTAAATCCAACCACAACTTCTTTAAAGCAAAAACACACACACACACACACACCTAACTTGGTGGCCCCCAGCCGTCCCCTTAGCTTTTTAGGCTTTTAGGGTTTAGTGGTAGTTTCCATTTAACCCACTAAAAGTTCGTCACGTATTTAGCGGGGGATCTGAGGGCAGCCCAGGTAAAACAAGCCACATGGCCACCGGCGATGAATAGCAACCACTGGATCCGAATAACAAAAGGGAAGCCAAGCGTTGAAGGTGGGCGGCGCTTTTGATTTCTCAACAGCCTCCCCCAGTTTTGGCACGGGAACGACAAGGATTCCTTGCGGGGGATGTTCTTAACAACCTCGCGGAGGTTTAGAGAAATTTTGCAGGTTTCCATGTAACGAGCTCCATGAGAACTTGGAGCACGTGGCTAGGCCTTGTGAATGGTTGCTGGCAGGGTGGCTAGGCCGTGGGAAAATCACGCGAGTTGTTCGTTGCCAAGTTGGTAAGTGGTTAGTTGACAATATTAACGCCTGTGAACTTATTCGTCGGTAACCGAACGGTTACCGTTGCAACTTTTAGCTTGGCAACACACACCTATGTAAGGGGCCTCCCGAGATTTCAGTTGACACACCCAACTGCCATGGGAGCCTATTGTTTTCTCTCTGTTTTGTGCAGGTTCCATGTAGAGCTCCTCTTGGACGTATGAATTCCTCTCCCCGAGTTGCCGGACTTTAGGCACTTGCGATGTCAGCCGACAGTTGGGACAGCTCCACTGGGCCGTGCCTACCATAGGCGTGGTTTTGTCTGGAAAAGTTGGTACGAACTTCTGTGATCAAGCATGAGGATGGCCAAAGGACTTTGGCATCACAAGGGCGATGTTTCACAACCACCTTGGGGGGGGGCGCCTTGGGAACATGTCTTGCAACCGCCGGCAAAGGCTTGAGACTGTTGGTGCGCTGTTCTTATAGGCGTCCTTTTTAGGTGAGCTTGATTAGACATAGATGGGTTCCACTGGTTGAGATGTTGTTTTTTTTCTCCATTTACCAGGGGGACCCATCTATTTTCCAAAAAGGACACCTATGGGCCTTTAGTCATGAAAGCCTACATAAAGAAGTCAAGACAACAGAACCTAAGGTCATGATTGAATGATTGTGTTCTGCAGCGTTTTATGGTTCATTAAAAAGCAACTCAACATCCTCGCATGTCCCATGGTTTCAGTGCGCTGTTGGTGCGCTGTTCCATGTTTTGCTCTTCCTCGGCTGCAGGAAAGGCACTTTGAAACTGCCTGAGGAGGAGGCCGTGAAATTAGCAGACCTTCGGCAGCAGGGGTTCAGGGGTTAGCCTGGACGGTTGAACTGGGCTCTGGGCTCGCGCGGCTTTCTAGCTCTATGATCAGGGTATTTGGGTTGTTTTGGAGGGAGTTGAATCCCTTGAGACGAACTCATAACGGTCACCCGGTCACCTTGTGGAATGAGGAGACGCTGGTGTCGCAGAGGATCGTTGCCTGCGCTCAAGCCGGCCCCAGCGGACTGGCGGTGAAGACAGCGGCTCGGCTTTGCACCTATCTGGTAATTCTGAATTGGTGGCTTGGATCGGTGGCTTGGATTTGGGTTTGAACGGGTCCCTGGTTCTTGTGGAGGTAAAGGGGGCACCTGCAAGCCACGGGGCTCCAATTAGAGGAAAGCTGAAACATGGACACCGCCCATTTGATACATACCCAACTCTAAATGGGCCCTTGCCAGGCTCGTCTCCTGAAACTTGCGACATACGGCTTTCCTCTTCCATCCAAAGCTCTCTGGCCAATGAACTACATGAAATCCACCAACTTGGTCTTCCAGCTGGGTTCCATGTCGGTGTGTGTGTGTGTGTGTGCGTTTGTTTAAAGCAAAGGAACTCTTCCTTGATCTATTTGGCACGGGAGGGTGCCTGCCATTTGCGTAGGTGGCAAGATGCAAGCCGCTGGTGGAAAAGACGTTCGGCGGTGGGGTTACGTGGTCGCCCATCGGGGGCAACGAGGGCTACTTGCAGTGGCTCGAGGCGGAGTGCGTCGGGTGTGAGTGACGTGATCCATCCGGACAGGGCTTCAGGGCCTAGGGCGGGGAAGGGGGGGAGGGGGAAGGGGAGTTTCAGTACAGCCCAGCTTCCCTTAAAATTTGTTGGAAGGGATGAATGAACTTGGAGAGCTCCCTACCCTTCTCCGTTTGAGGAAACTTGGGTTGAGGGAGACGCGGGAGGCAGCGTTGCCGGAGGAAAGACTCACCTGGCGCGTTTGACGCAAAAAAAGAGAGCGCGCCACGTGCAGGGACAGAGGGCTTGATGGAATGCGGACCCCCTCTATTTGTAGGGGGGATGTAACCTTGGTGGCCCCCAGCCGTCCGGACCCTTAGCTTTTCAGGCTTTTAGGGTTTAGTGGTAGTTTCCAGGCAAACCCACTAAAAGTTCGTCACTTTAAGCAGGGATCTGACAACGGGCAGCCCAGCAAACGTCCATGGGCTTCGTGCCGATGTCGCCCCGCGCCGTGACTGAGGCATCTTCCCCCCAGTGAAGGTGGCCGGAGCCTCACTTCGCTGCTTCTGAAGGTCTGAGGAAGGCCTTGGGACGATTTTTTTCGGGCACCTTTCTTGCCTTTCGGCCACCTTTGCCTTTTCGGCCACCTTTCTTGCCTTCTCGGGCACCTTTTCGTCCACCTGTCTTGCCTTTCCCCCTTCTGTTGTTGTCTTTGCCTTTTCCTTTATGGGGCGCAAGGGTTTTGAAGCCTATGACGTTGTGGGTTCTTGTCTGAGGAAAGTCGCTGGAAGAAGAATCAGAAGGATTCCCACCACACCGTGGCGGAGAAGCCGGAATCCATCGACAAGGAGAGCCGGCAGCCCAGCTTCCATCTGGTTGCCCTGGTCGGACATCAGCCGGCAGAAAAAAGAAAAAACAGAAGAAAAAAAACGCTGAACAACCAGTTGCCCAGTGGATTACGTCATGTTTTTCTTACTTGTTTTTCTTTGGGAAGAGTTCCCCTTGAAAGTCAACCAACCCTCAGTTGCCCAAAGCCGACCTTTTAACCTTTTGGTTTTCCAGTTTTGGTCCATTTTTAGTCATGGCCCCAAAAAGCCAAAAAGTTAACCTTTTATTTTTGGGTCCTTTGGGCAAGTCAGAACCAAAAAAGGATGCCCTCCCTTCCACAAACATAGCACATGTGGGAGGGTACCTGCAAGATCATGTTCCTTCAATGGACCCTCCGTCCGGTGCCATGTTCGTGGAAGAGGGGCACCTTTTTTTCCCCCATGAAAATCCACTCGGCATCTGAGCTGAGTTTCCCAGGCCAGAAGTGGATCGACTGCCAGTTCAAGCTGTATGAAGAGGCCCCGGCCGGAGCCCCAAGTGGATGCGGCATCATCTGATATCCACGGGCGTCCTCTTTTTATGTGCCATGGTCGAAACTCCCCTTGGGGTGACTAGGGATATCCATTGACCATTTGTTTGGATTTTAAAGACCACCAGTATAAGGGCTTGAGTTTTGACATGTTTTGACTGGCTCATATAGGATCGCCAGCCAAACAAAGCCCCAAGCGCTTCTCACCTGTCCAATCTTACTTCGGGGCTTTCTACGCAGTAACTGAGGCTTAGCCACTCAAAGTACAGTACCCGCTTTGTTCAGGGTATTTTGGGGAAAACCGATCGGCTTTTTGCGTGGTAAATACCTCTGTTTTTACTAGAGAGTCGACATGATGCCCTGAAAAAAGAGAGTATTTGGTGTAGGGGGTACATGTTGTGTTCTTGGCGCGGGGGGGGGGGGGATCCTATTCGCATCCGTGCCAAGGATTGCAAGCTGAAAGCGCTGCAGGAGCAAGAGCGCAAGGCATGCGCTTCTCCAATCGCGACAGTGCGCGGACGTTGGACCCAAAAGGAGCACTTGCGATTGAAGGATCCTGGGCATGGCAAGCCTTTTTTCCCCTTGAGACCTTGCGCGGCCAGTCCACCAGTGGTAGGCCGAACGACATGTCATCACGTGTGCCCAGTTTGCGGTCTCCAAAGCCCGTCTGGGTCACTTGGGTTAGCGTTTTAGTGGTGAACATCTGTTTTTCCAATCCTGCCACTCCACTCTGCTGCGTCTTTCGTGAGGGTGCGCCGGTTTGTCCTTTGAAAGGGAAACTAAAACGAACACCGAAGACGGCTCCCCGAGAGAAAGAGGCACCCACCCAGGAAAGGAAGTGTTCGCCGCGTTTGGTCGCTTCCATTTGCTTGCTGTAATATGTGTTTTCCCCTGTTGGTTTTAAAGAGAGTCGATTCCTACTGGAAATACTTTTTTTCCAGGGGTTTTAACCAAGTGGAAGCTCGGAGAGCACTTTTGAGCCCAGTTTTTTTGCGGCAGGACCCGCATGGTTCGGCGCGAGTTGTGCGGGAAGCGTGCGCGCCAGGCGGAGCGGACGTGCAAGAACCAGATGGAATTCATATATGACCTTTGGGAGAAGCCGAAGTCCCGTCCCAGCCTCAGTGCTTGGAGTTGATGGGTTTGGGTCGCTTCGCTGTTGAACGGCATGGTTTTAGGTGCTGAGGCTTTTGGCTCCATTCAAACATGTGGTTGGGAGCTGCAAAACGCTAAGTATTTTGCTACCATACCAAGGGTTGGAAAGTCTTTGGGTTCCAAGCGAACCTCCTTTCTCAAGTGATGAGAAGTAGTCATGGTTGCTTGGGAACCAACCACTTTGCTACCACAGAAGTGTTTTCCTTTTTTCCTGGTACCCCTTTCCTTCATTTTCTACGGAATATGTTGTATGTTCTCCGTTTGTTTCATTTTTTTAAGAGTCTGTCACTACTGGAAATATGTTATTCGTCCAGGGACCTAAGCCAACGGAAGCCTTTTTGTGGTATTCGTGCGGAAGCCCAAGACAAGCCAAACTGTTTGGGCCAAACTCCTTAGAGTTCCCCCGAGGGAAACACACCAAGAAGTGCTCAATTGGAATTTCTTCCTTGGGTGACCCAGATGGATTTCAACCGAAATAGAGGGAAACCGTTGCCATTCTTGGCCATCAATGTTCAAGTCCCGAGACACACCCATTTGGGTGTGTCCTGGTTTAGGGACCCCCCCCCCCCAACCACAAAAAAGCCAACCAAAAAAACTATCACGCAAGAAAGCAGGACCAATAAACAAGCCTTGTTTGTCCTTCAAACCCACCAAAAACGGGTACCCTCAAAAAGCGACACGCCCCTTTTTGTCCACGTGCGGACCCGGCCGCCAGGCTCGGACATCACTGAGTACTCGCCGCGGCCCGAGAAATTCGAAGACAGCGCCTTTGGGCCTTTGGGCTTGACTGCTCTTGGGTTGGATCTGTAGCCTTTCACGTGTTGGGAGGGAAAAAAAAGGTGTTTCCACTCAACCCCCCAAAAGGTTAAACAAAGTTTTTTGCAGGGGGGTCAACCGCAACCAAGTGTGGCCTCTGCGAAAGTCGAAGGTGGACCCGCAACGTCCCAGGGGTAACTGCACATTCTTTCCAGTGGTCCTTCTTTCCAACAAAACCTCGTGAAAGTCCGGGAAATGCACGGCTTTTGCAAAAGCAACGATGTTTGACAAGAGCGTTGCCATGGAACCTGACGTTTTGGTACAACAAAAACCAAGTCTCCTTAAAAACCAAAAAGCAAAACAACACTCGCGTTCCATGGGAGCCCTGGTTTCGCGCACCCCTTTTGGGGGGCACCCTCAAGACAGTGGAACTGGTTCCTTCTCGCAGATCCCGCGCACATGAGCAGACTGGCAGAAGATGTGTGACGTCCCTCTCCCAAGCACCCACTTGGGGGATTGATTCCCCAAGTGCTTAGACATTGATTTCCCTCTCCTAAAGCATTTCCATGGCACTAGACTAGACTTATGCTGGTGAAAATAAGTTACCCACCCCCAGCAACAACCGCATATGGGTCGTTTGGTTCTTGCACCAGCTTTTCTAGACCCCTGCAGATGTTTATCATTCAGAAAGAAACTTGGGGTATCTCCTTGAGAACGGAACCCAGCATGGCCAACCACTGACAAACTCGGCGACAAGCATCCAAGCAGGTTTTCCAGTTTTTGGGTTTAAACTCGTGAAACATACCGTGGATGGTTGCAAAATCCATTGCGCACCACTTTGAAACCAACAAGTTCTTGGTTGGTATTTTCCAAACGGAGTCATCATTCCGTTGGGTGTCTTAGCTTGGTGGCTCCCAGCCATTCTCTTCGCCGCTTAGCAACTTTTAGTGTTGAGTGGCAAAAGTGAGTCACCACTTTTGCTCACTCCCGGAGTTCATGGACTTTACACTTTTCGGGAAGACCATTTTGGTGGTAAACAAAAAGTTTGGACTTTTCTTGGGCCAGTCAACTCAGGAAGCGAGTCCAAGTTGCCGGCGGATCATTTTTTTTTCGGGCGGCCCAGTTGGGTGCGAACAAAGTCGACGCTGAGGCTCCGGCAGCTGCGGCGGGACATCGAGGTGGACTACGTGCGCACCTTGCACGCGCGGGGCCGAGGGGCATAGCGAAGGAGCCAGCGAGCCGGGGCGCGGCCTGGGCCGGCGGGGCATCGCCGGCGATGCCCCGGGCAGCTGGGAATGAAGAAAGCAGAAGCCCCCCCCCTGGAGACATGCTGTAGCACTGCTATTGGAGTGTTGTAGCACTTTTAAAGTTTTTTGCCCCCAGCGTTCCCCACTGACTGGCGGCGCGACAAGCGCTGGAAAATGACACCCACCACTACGCTCATGCTCGCCCGAAGCTTCAGAAGTGCGCAAGTCTTCCGCAAGGCCTTGCGGAAGCCTTGCGGAAGCCTTGCGGAAGCCTTGCGGAAGCCTTGCGGAAGCTTCTATGGAAGCCTTGGGGAGGCTTCGGGAAAAAAGGGGGGTGGGGAGAAATCTCCCCCGCCCGAAGCTTCCCTATGGCTTCCGGAAGCTTCCGCAAGGCTTCCGCCCAAGGCTTCCGGAAGCTTCCCACCTATTTGGCCCAAAGCCGGAGGGGGTAAGGGGGGGCGGTGGAGGCTTCTTAAGGGAAGGAAGGAAAGGAAGAAGCTCAGCATGGAACTTCCCTGTTCCTGACTCTTCATTATCAGCGTTGCATCTATTTTTGCGTTGTTTTTTTGAGGGAGGGTGCGTTTGAGCATCATGTTGCAGTTTGCATTTTGTGTTTGGGGGTGGTGGGGTGGGGATCTCAGCGGCGAGTCCCTGAACTTTAGTCACTTGTTGGGCTTGGACAATTTTAGTGGCAAACGGCAAGTTTGGGAGTTGTCTTTTTGGGTCATCCACTCGATCGGAGGTGAGTGAACACCGTCTTTGGTGCTTATGTGTCCAGCCCACCATTCCTTCTCTATGTCTATTTGGTTGGATCTTTGGACTTTTCCTTTTTTGGCGGGCACTGGATTTTCCACTGGACCCCCCAAAAGAGTTCAACTTTTTGCAGAGGGGTCGCTACAGCTGCCTGGGGGAAGAACGAGTTCACCGCGAGAAAGTGGTCTTTTGCTTGCATCCCCCGAATTCTGCTTTACGATTTTTTTGGCCACCCAAGACATGTCCCTAGAAGGTTGGGCACTCGGTGCTCAGAGACCCGGATTCGTTCGTTCTTTTGGAAATTCTCATGAAGTATGCAGCTAGGCCGTGGTCAAGCGAACGAGAAGGATCTGCCTGAATCGGCAGATCCGCACGATGGATCGCAATCAAAACCCGGGTAGATGAAGGTTAGTAAGGGACAATCCCAACCATAAATGGCTGCGGCCTTCTTCTTCATTCTTTACATGGCTCTGGGTAGACCATTTTAATACCGAGTTTTGGTCATGACTCACTTGAAGGATATCCTCCTAACATACGCAGCTCCGCTTGAACCTGACCCAACAATTTCACGCGGAGGCCCTCAACATCTCCGGCAGCGGCGATGGCCCGCAGATGGAGAGGGCCAGCTGGGTCCAAGCCTCAAGCGCGCATTCCGAACGATGGGCGCGAGTTGGGTAAAACGGTTCCCAGGGTTTTGACCAGAGCAGGTGGACTCCATCCCAGGAATTGGTGGGCCCTTTGTTGGGGGGGAACCTGACCCCTGGGTTTCAGTCCTTGGGGTAAGTTCAGTGGAGCCCTGTGGTGTGTTTCTTTCTGATATGCCGCAAGGCGGCTTTCCATGATCTGTTGGTTCCCACTTAAAGCCAACCAAAATGAGGGTTCCGTAACAGACAAGAGATGCACATGCTCGTGTGAAGCAGCTTTGAAGCAAGGATGTGTTGTTTGTCGAAACATTTCTTATAGCTTCTGACGATGCTTGTGGGAACGAGCCGAGGATTTTGGCATCTTGTTCTGTGATTCTTATTATCTTACTTATGTTATCTTAATCTTATATGTTTCTTTTTGGTTTGATTTCTCTCGCGCAAGGGTTTTAGTTCTTCTTCTTCCGCCAAGGTGTTTCGTCAAAAGTGGTTGAGTCCCTGGCTTTGGGAGCAGCCCCGCGTCCGCGTCTCGCAGACGCGGGCCTTAGGTGAAGACGGACCACGACATCCGACAGAGCCTCCTGTACTTCCAGGCGCTGAAGATGGGCTTTGGGAAAGCCAGTCCCCTAGGTGAGCTCCTTTCCCAGTTTGGGTGGTTTGAAACGCCCTGGTTCCCCCAAATGGGCGATTGGGTGCCCGGTTTGGAGAAATTTGGGGCGACCTTCCTCGTTTTTCAGAAAAGAAATCCCAAAGAACCAATCCAAAGCACCAAGGAGGAAGCTGACAAGGGTCTTTTGGGTGTCCTTTCGGCCCTTTAAGAACCAACCGGGTCCAATCATCCCCGGGTCCGATTGGGGGAGGAGATTTTGACTGGAGATCTCCGTTTATGGTAAACCATGCTCTTTATGGGGAAGACTAGACACATGGACTGTGGGTCCCGGAGCCCCGCCCTCCTTATGTAGGGGGGATGTCGAATTGCGTGGAGCAACGGGGGCAACACAGTTTCAAACGGTTTACTGGTACAAGAATGCCTGGTTTCCGCCGTCCCCTGCAACACATGGCTCGCAGCAACAGCTCCCTTCGGATGAACAAACCCCTGCTTCTTCATATGGGGGGTGGTCCCCTCCAAAAGTGATGTACCCCTATTAAAACCAGGGAGAAGCACCCCCCCATATCAATAAACGCTCATTGGTTGGTTGGTTGGTTGGTTGGTTGGTTGGTTGGTTGGTTGGTCGGTCGGTTGGTCGGTTGCGTGGGAGGGTGGAAAGGGCGCAACCTCCGAACACGAAGTGTCTCTTCGCCGTATGTGGGGCTGTCTTGTTTAGAGCTTGCCCCCAAAATGGCTCAACGGTGTTCCTCTTGCTTAACTAGGTCCCCCAGTAGTGCCCTTACTCACGCCTTTTTTGGTTGGGAGGGTTCCCCTACAAGAATAGACTACAGAAAAAGTTGGTACCCTTATTCTAACCTCTCTACTGGAGGACCTAGTGAACCACCAAAAACGAGGTATCCTCAAAAAGTGGAACCACGCTCATGTGTTGCTTCCTTGGTCCTTGGTGCTCATTGGCAAAGAACGCGGGGGAGGGGGGGGATCTCTACTGAGCATGGCATCGGGGACCGGGATTCCCACCGATCGAAGGGTCTCTGTGAAAAAAGGCCGTGCCCTTAGGCTTTTCAACCTGCCTGAACACATGCATGGATTGCGCTCCGCTGATTTAGTTGCTTTATCTTAAGCTGCGTGGGTGTGTCGTTTTTGAGGGTTGACATACCCCCATTTGAGAGGGGTCCAGCCGAAAAAAGAAAAAACACACCCATACTTTTTACCCCATACGTTTTACACGTCCCCTGTTGGTTTTCGATTTGGAATCCACCACTGGAAGTATTGTCTGATTTGTGGCGATCATCAGACCCCGGAATTGAAAAAGACAAACATCGCTGGGTGTCACGATCATTGGGTAACACCCCCTGTGAATCACATCAAACAGGTGTTTAAAACTCCGGGGTCAGCATCTGATGATATTTGATCGCACTCAGGAAATCACTGCCTTTTGCATGCTTATAAGAGGTTTTTTTGAGGTTGTCAGGTCCTGATTTCTTTTGTGTGGGCTGCAAGAGCAAAGCTTTGCGACCACGCCAAGGCTTGGGAAGTTCAGCAGCCGCCTTTTCTCACTTCCCCAGAAGTTCGCCCCCTGTAGAAAGACTTTCCTCTTGGAAAGGGCATTTTTGCACTTCCATGTTAGTTGGTGGAAGGGTGGCTTGTTGCAGGGTCTAAATTCCAGGCCCCCTTCTCATAGGAGCTGCTTTGGATCCTCCAGCAGCAGCCCGTGTACTTGGCCCGTCTCAGCGGGATGATCCGAAAGAACAGCGGCAAGGACCAGGGGACCGGCCAGGGCACGGTGCTTGTTTTTGTGGATGTGCCTCAGAAAACGGGGGGAGAGCCCCAAACAGGGTGGTGTTCTTGTACTTGGCGGCAAGCCCAGCCATTCAGTTCCGTAGCTTTGCTTTTAATTTAAGTGTTTGGGGTTTGGCTCACTGCAAGTTAAACTTTCAGCGGGGGATCTGAGAGCAGCCTAGCTTAGGTTCTGAGAAGGCTGCCCTGAGTCAAGGGCACACCCACCCGTGGTCTTGGCTGGGCCCGGACAATCGGCGGAAGAAAGGGTCTTTGATTTTGGGAAGTGTCTTGGTTAGGATTGGCGATGTACTTGGGACAGAAAGGTTTGCAGAGCACCCTTGGAATGTCCTGGGCACCCGAACGCGGGAGTAGCCAGGGTTTTGGAGGGGTCTGTGGGCTTTACCGCCAGGATGTACCACAGGAGATGTCTTTGGAGCTCTTCTGCTCTCGGCCAACATGCCACACGCGCCCGAAACCACCGTCTGCCATTTTAGTATGTTCTACCACCTTTGAGGGGCCTTCAGTCCGGGGGACATAGCAAGGCCGATCTAAACCTTTATACCCCACACCAGTACGCATGGAACGACATGCCAATGGGTCCTTTGTTGCGCTACCGACATCCACATGTCCAGGAATATGACCACAAGGTCTTTCGCAAGATTTGCGAGCGCATCTTCCACGACCTCTTCCAAGCACGCCCCTGGCTCGGACATTGCCGAGGGCACGTAATCTTTGGATTTTGGCGCCGTGCTAAACAATCAGAGGGGGTTGTCAATAGTCAAGTTGTGGCCCAACATTGGGCCAAAAAAAAAAGGGAACCTCCAACCAGGTTTGTGTTGCTTTCATTTGTGGGTTCCCTTTCAAGCTGATTCTCGGGAGTCCTCCAAAGCATCCCCCCAACAGAGCGGAATTGGAGGCTTCCATGTTCAACAGAATATGTTTGCTGTTCCTCTGCGGGGTCTTGTTTTTTCATTCGTTCCAGGCGGGCGAAAACGCACTTGGAAGTCATTTGGGTGTTCCAGCAACTTAGTACATCTCATCCATGCTTAGAACTTGGCTTTGCTAGTTCCATGGTTGGAGCCAGCGGTTGCAGCTTTCCGGTTGCCCGGCAAGCGCTGCCAACAAACCTCCAGGGGGTTGGAGTTCCGCTGGGTGAGGGGATGCCTTGAGGCACCTTGCATCTCTGCAAGTGCGCGCCCGGGGCCTCGAAAGGCCTCGGAAGGCATCGAGTTAGATCGACGAAGTGGGCGGATCGCCCTGGCTGCATGGGCCCATCGGTTGTTGCTTTTTTTTTTTGGTTGGCCTGTTCTTTTTGGGGGTTCCAACGGGTCGGCTGTTGGCTGCGTTGTTTGGCTTGTTGTTGGTTTTTGTGTTTATCCTCCTTTTTTTTGGGGGGGGGGTCCAAAAGGTGATTCGGGCAAGGTTTAGGTGGTTTGGATTGGTCTCTTGGATTTGGACGAGAGGGAAGCTGAGTCACATTTTATTTCCAGGAATCCAGCGCCTGGGAAGGCTGCGAGAGCAGTAAATGATCCAAATCATGTGGATATGTCTTCTTTCGAGGGTACCCTTTGGTTTGATTTGAGGGAAACCGACATTAAACTGAGCACTTTGGGGGGGGCCTAAAAAAGACAGACCCATGTGTCCGTGAGAAGCAAAGCACCTCGCATGGGTGTGGCTGTGTGAGCCTCGATCTCCTTCTTGGGGTTGCTTTGAAGGGAAGCCCAAAACAACCACCCGAGTTGAGCGTGCTGTTGTTTTTGTGAAAGACGCCCAGCAATGGCGGTTTTGCCCTTTGGTTTCAGAAAGGGACCCCAGAACCAAGACACCCCCCACATCCAAACCTCTATTTTCACTTCTTCCTTGGGCCGGTTGAAAGGGAAATCGTGGGGAACACCACTTGGAGGTCCCCCGAATTTTCCGCGACGCGCCATTCGTCCACGAAATCAGTAGCCCGTGGATCATAGGCTGCGCCTGATCATTGACTCCGAGATGGAGCAGGCCAGTGGGTCTAAGCCATTCGCGGGGACTTCCAACAACGGGCGACTTCTTCCTCTACTGCTGTTGGGTTGGATCTTTAGACTTTAGCTTTTTGGATTCCCCTCATATTTCCTTTTAACCAGCAAAAAGTTAAACTGTTTGCTGGCGGATCTACAGCACCCAAGCTTCCGTGCGATCAGCCGCTCGCATAGGCGTTTGGCGAGCCATGACTCCAAAAGTGGAAATCGATCGGTTCAGAAGAGCCACCAGGCTTTGATTTTGGGAACCCGGTGATCCCTGCCATATGTGTTGCAGGCTCGTTTCTGGACAGGAAGGGCAACATTTTTCAAGTTTTCCAGGTCGCCTGTTCAACATCCAGCTCAAATTCCCAGTTCCGATCGCTGGTGCCCTTGTGCGTAGCATTGCAGTTACCTGGGCCTATTTGTCAATTTCTGGGTTTGTTAGGGTTACGGAACTTGACACTGGTAAACTAACTCGAGGTTTGCACCGGATGGGGCGGCAAAAGGTGCACGGTGCAGGCGCGCTAAGGTTAAAAACAAGGATTTGGTTGAAAAGAAGTGTGTCAAGGTTGGACAAAAATGGTTGCCCTCGTTTGATCAACCAGCAGATCGATCCTGAGTTGCCATTTCTGCTCCCCAAGTTGCGATGCTTCGTGTCGCTCTCGAAGCTGTGTAGAGGGCTGGCAATCCCACGAAGCTACCGTCCCGTCTTAACCGCGAAATTGGGTTTGGCCTTTAGACCAAAAGAGAAGCATGCATGCTTGGGTGGTCTAAAATCCTCCCCCCCAATTAAATACCCCATCAAATACCCCCCCAAAAAAAAATATATAGTAAAAACGGGTTACTACTTTTCTTACAACGCTTACTTGTCTACAAAGAGGAATCAAAAAGCACATGACTAGCCCATTTAAAGGTATTGGTTGGTATTGTATGGAAACATTCAACCGGCAACATCGCAGTCCATTCCCCTAGCTTGAGAGCCCACCCGCTTGTTTTTCTCGCAGCGCAGGGCGCTTGTAGGGTTGTTCTTTTCGAAGCTTGGTGTCCACTCATGGTTCACCTGAGGAGGCAAACACGCTCGAGCCCCAAGAGTTCACATTACATCAGTTCCGTTCGCGTGTTGCTGTGCGGCCCAAAAGCCAGACAGCAGCTCAGAGCCAGACAGCAGCTCAAAGCCAGACAGCAGCTCAAAGTCAGACAGTAGCTCAAAGTCAGACAGCAGCCTGCTAAGTCAGACTGCGTGTGCTCACCCCGTGATGGCGGATGGTCGCAGCCTGATCAAGGCGGCGATCACGCCGGCAGAGCAGCGCGCGCGGGTCCGCGCACTGGCCATGCGGGATGCGGCGAAGTCCTCGTGGAGTCAGATGATGTCTGCGCTGTGGCCTAACCGTGACAGGAGCCAGGATGGCGGCGACCTGGCCATATTAGCGTGCTTTGTTCCCATTGCCATTGGCATGTTTGCGGGCCACGTGCAGCTTTTTCAAGGGAAGGAGGCCTGAACGTAAATCCGTTTCCTGGCTGAGCCCCGCAAGCTCCCACAAATTCGAACAAGTCGTAGTTTGATGATCAGGGCATCCAATGGGGTTCACTGGCGCGCGAGGTGTAATGATTTTGCATGGCCAGCGACGCCACGCGTGTGTGCTTATGCCCAGATTGTAGCTAAACCACTGGAGTTCGGCAGATTGTAGGGGTCTCCTAAAACACCCAGAAATTTTCCCGGAGTTTGAAGGCCCAGAGTCTTGCCATTGCGTGACCGAGACCCTCCGAAGCTGCCGAAGCTGCCAGAGGAGGAGTCGCCGTACGAGCAGTGGCTGGATGGGGCGTGCGATGAGCCAGAAGCCATGGCGCCCTGTCTGAATCGGGGGATTTGCTAGTTTGCTTGCCTCCGTGTGGCGCAACGCCACGCTGCCCTCTGAGGTGTTCCTGCGTGTGACCGCTCTGGCGCCAGACCTGGCGTGGTGCCTGGGGAGGTGCCGCGTGGACATGCCGTCCTGGGTCGCGCCTTGGACTCGCAGCACGATCGATGCGGTTTGGTGTCCTTTTAAAACCAACTTGAAAGAAAGGATGCCCTTATAAGCCTTAAAACACACCCCATTTGGGGAAGCCCAACTCTGTACACCAAAGCTAGGGGATTTCCCACGATTCTGCTTTTCATATTCCCTCCAAAGCAAAACCTCATTTTGGAGGAGATGCCTGTTAGGAGCCCAGCGCCTCATTGGTCTTAACACATGGGTGTTTTTATTTTAGGCCCCCCCCCCCCAAAAAAAAAGAGAGAAGGGGCAAGTAGCTCCATTGGATCGTGAGACATCGCCACGTGCTTTTTGCTGAGATGGTGGCTAGCGTGCTGCAACACCCATCGCCGAATGGCCGGGCGTATGGCCATGAGCTCGTGGGCAAGCTCGTCAGAAGCTGGCTCGCATCAGCTTTTTCGGGTGGCGATCTGCTGGCTTTCTGCCTGTTCTGTCTCATTCTGAAGCTTCTCAGTTGTGGAGTTGGCAGAGTGTCAACTTATTTGATCCCAGATCTTCCACTGCACCAGCCATGTAGCTTGCTTTTTGGTTGGAGTCGGTTTTCTCGCTCTTGCTTCACTGAATCTGACAGATCACACCACGCATCACCCGCTGTGTGAGGACAGCTGCTGGAGTACCGCAAGAGCCACCGGTACGAGAACGTCAGCCACTTCATCGGGTCCTGGCACACCGAGAAGACGTACCTGCTGCAGGAGCAGACGCCCCAGGTTTGGGACGCACGTCAGACGCCCCCTGCCAAGCATTGATCTGAGGCATGTCTATGTGAGATGTTGGTCGCTTCAATGGCTGGCAGACCCCTCAAACAAAGGATCAAATTGAGATCGCTTGACCCCCAAACAAACAGGCCGATCCTTTCTACTTACAAAGGCGGGCCACGCTGGTGTGCCACATTCACATACTCTCCCCAGTCGACTGCTGCCCCCCGAAATTCCACCGAGGGTACTTGAGCTCAAACAAAATCAAACTCCAGGCGGGCGTGTCCTACGCATAGGTTTCCTATTCAGGTGATGACTTGCTCAAGAAAATGTTCTTTTGGCTTTCCATTAAACAAAAGCAAACCCATTCAGAATTCAGAGTCCGTGTCCATGTCACTTTAGTGGACCCAGGAAAAGGCGCCCTCCATGGCTCCGTCGCTTGCCTTTGGGGCCACGGGCCCCTCTAAATCCGACGGACCCAAAATGTTGTTTGGCCTGGGGCCTGGAAAGGGCTGGGTACAGAGTTCCCATGGTTTTCCTGAAGGGTCGCTGAAGTTCCTTAAAGCTGTGGGCCCACGGGTTGGTCCTAAAGATGGCCAGGGCGTGGCCGGCAACGCAGAGCGAGCCCAACGCCGGAACCAATTCTGGGTTGGGGATCTACTCTCTTTAATTCAGCGTGCCAGGGATTCGCCTTTCGCAACGCAAAGAAAATCACATTAGCCAGCTGTTCCGCCCGTGAAGTGTGTTTTTGGATAGCTTGGATTGCCATGGACACCTGCAAAGACACGGGGCCCCACGAGTTTCGAATTTGGGCACATTGGGAAAGGGGCGGTTTCGTTGCCCCTACCAAGGCAAGACGCATGGCAGGGACAAGGCTGGACATGGGCTGCGCGGCTCGGCGTGCGAGCAGACACCGTACCAAAATCTTAATTTGTTTGAAAGAGGTGACGCAAGGACGGCGCCCACCCAAAACCCGGGTGTGGGGGGCGCGGGGGGAGGAGGGTTCCAATTTTTTCCCCGGCCCATTATCCAGCAAGGTAAACATGCCACGAAGTCGACGCTCAAAGTGCGCTTTTCAGCCACCTGTTGTTTCATCTTGAAGCGGGTTTGTCTCTAAATGGGCGAGGGGCCCTAATAATGGTTGGTTTCCACTTGAATGAGCGGTCTTCGAAAAACAGACTAGGAGAAGGGCAGCTGAGAATTCGGGCCATCCAAGGCAAGACGCATGGCAGGCACGAGACTGGACGTGGGCCGAGCGGCTTGGCGTGACACATGGGCAATGGGCATCATCCAACAAGGTAAACAGTAAACATGGTATGAGTTCGTCGGTGGTCCGTGCGTTTTGCAGCATTCATCTTCAGTTGGCTTTGTCTCTAAACGAGGGAACCCCAATATGATTGGTTTTCTTTTGACTTCCTGTTAGAGCAAACTAAAGCGGGGGGGTCCCAAAAAGGACACACCAGCGCGCGGCACCCACGACCTTGTCCTTTTAGCTGGGTTTCCGCTGCAGAA